CGTTCTACGTGAACGCTGGTATGCTTGGGAGGACGCCTCGCGGATGTACAAGCGTGGATACCGCCCTGAGAACTTTTATGGGCTCGATGACGTTGAGGTCGAGCAGGAGGGTAAGGGAGCTGGCCAAGGAAAGGAACAATAAGCATGAGAAGAGGTTTTAGACACACCCGGCCGAAGGAGACTTATGCCAAGTCTCCAAGGGTCAATTAACTATGTAACATTAGCTTTTCAATGTGATTTTAGTAGTGCGCATGTCAAATTATACAATGGATATATGAGATATGGTTCATCATCCGACACTACAGACCTCCTTTAATTATCACAGTAGCTAAGACTGTTGGGAACTGGTCATATTTTACCCCTGAGATGAAATAACCCAAGTATATATATATTCAGGGGCTCATTGAAGTCAGATTGTCCCATGTCATTAATATCGTGAGGTAATTCACTAGTGGCGGATCCGCCAAATAGTTCCCCTTTCTTACCGCTTCGTTGATCCGCGGGGAGGTAGTCAACTTTCTCTTCCTCCTCATTTTCTTGAATCTTCTTTCTATCTTTCTCTACCCTTAGTATCTTTCATATTCATTATGGACGAGATTGCCCCAGAGTACGACGTTGTGGTGCTCGGCACTGGTATGTTGCTACCCCGCCATCCCCCCAACGTCAACAACTGACCATTTTATTTTAGGCCTGACCGAGTGTGTTTTGTCTGGGTAGGTCTTTGATGAGCTTGGATTTCAATAATCCTACCATTTTCTCATTATTTTCAACTACAGTGTCCTCAGTGTTAAGGGCAACAAGGTCCTTCACATCGATCGCAATGATCACTATGGAGGGTAAGTCGGAGAAGCTCATGATGACGGCACCAAGATCAAAATAACTAACAATAGCCACAGAGAGGCAGCTTCCGTCAATATCGAAGCAGTATGTGCACCGATTCATTTCCAACTTACCCTATTGACACCCTTTTGCAGCTGTTCAAGAAATACGGCAACGTCAGCCCCGGCGAGGAGCCATGGAAGAAATACGGGAGGGTCAATGACTGGAACATCGACTTGGTCCCCAAGCTGCTCATGTCCAATGGAGAGTTGACCAACATCTTGGTGTCCACGGATGTTACCCGGTACCTCGAGTTCAAGCAGATTGCTGGCAGCTATGTCCAGCAGGGCAAGGGTCCCAAGGCGACCGTGGCTAAGGTGCCTTCGGATGCTGGTGAAGCTCTCCGCTCATCGCTCATGGGCTTGTTCGAGAAGCGACGTGCCAAGAAGTTCCTCGAGTGGGTTGGTGATTTCAAGGAGGATGACCCAGCCAGTCACCAGGGTGAGTATTTGCAGCCTAAGTCAGTTCGGGGGTTAGCTAATAAAAACCAGGATTGAACATCCACAATTGCACGATGAAGGAGGTCTACGACAAGTTCGGCCTCGAAGATAACACTCGCGATTTCGTCGGTCACTCCATGGCTTTGTACCCCTCCGACGAATATATCAACCAGAACGGCGCCGCTGTCGAAACCATTAACCGCATCCGCCTGTATGTCAACTCGATGGCACGTTATGGAAAATCGCCTTACATCTACCCTCTCTACGGCCTCGGCGAGCTGCCCCAGGGCTTCGCTCGTCTGTCTGCCATCTACGGTGGTACCTACATGTTGAACACCGACGTCGACGAGGTGCTTTACGAGAACGGCAAGGTTTCCGGTATCAAGGCCACCATGAAGGACCGTGATGACCAATCCGAGGCCATGAAGTTTGAGACCAAGACCAAGAAGATCATCGCTGATCCTTCCTACTTCCCGAGCAAGTCTAAGGTCACTGGATACTTGCTCAAGGCTATCTGCATTCTGAACCACCCCATCGATAAGACCGACAGCAGCGATTCCGTGCAGCTGATCATTCCCCAGTCCCAGGTTGGACGCAAGCACGGTGAGTTTTATACGGTCCCGATTTATCTACAGGACACTAACCTCTCCAGATATTTACATTGCCATGGTCTCGTCTGCGCATAACGTCTGCCCCAAGGGATACTACATCGCCATCGTGTCCACCATCGCCGAGAACGATGCCAACCACCACCTTGAGCTTGAGGCTGGCTTCGAGCGTCTGGGCAAGATCGAGGAGAAGTTCATGGGTCCCCCCATTCCTCTCTACGAGCCCATTGACAATGGCGAGGAGTCCAACATCTTCATCTCTAAGAGCTATGACGCGACATCACACTTCGAGACTACGACTGGTAAGCTATCTTACGATGGAAAGTTTATGAATTGTCGACTAATCATTTCTCCCAGATGATGTCCGTGACGTGTACCGCCGTGCCACTGGCGAGGAGTTGAAGGTTGAGGGTCTCCGGGAAGACCAGCAACTGGCCACCGAGTAAAAACGCGTACTGGTCTTGACAACCGGGTAATCTAGTACTGCTTAGATCGATTGATTATATTTCTCTTGGACATGTGCGATAGTCTCTCTGTTCTTTGCCCGCTCTTCCTTATCATAACAAACGAAACACAATATTTCTAGTCACTACCACAGTCTTCGCTCGTACAATGGATAGAATTTGTCATCTTTATTGATGCAAATGAGATCTATACAAATTGATCTTCAAGTACCTTTAAACCCCTGAGAGAATATATAATATCCTCCTTCTACACATACCAAAATCAAATCAAATCAAATCCTCTGCGTCACCTCCGGATCGGTATTTGCCTTCTCATGTTCCCCAATCACACAAACATCCCGACTCTCCGCCCTCTGAATCTCAGCCCGAAGCAAAGCCAACCTCTTCCCAACATGAATGACTTCACAAAAAAGCCGCACTTCAGTTCCCGTAGGTACAGGCCGCAGATAAGTCACTTTGAGATTGCGACTAACACCACCGAAAGAGAACTTCCCCGGCTTGGAAATGCCCAACAAGATAGTCGTTGATAGAACATCGATCAAAGTAGCAGCACAGCCCCCGTGCAGGTTACCCATGTAATTGCTCATTGCGGGGGTAATCGTCAACAGGAACGAGACTGTAGCCGGAGGACCGCGAGTTGCGGATTCGAAGCGGAGGTTACAGCTGCGACCGTCGACGTCCCAATGCTTTTTTGAAATAAGTAAGCGCTGGATTCACCTGGGAAATTGTGCGTAACCGTGATGTGTAGGGGAAATGTAGTTCATATGTTTACATATGTAATGTTGCTGCATGTGGTACGGAGTACTTACGCCTTCGTTCCCTAGGCCCATTCGCGCCGTATACTCGTAGACGAGTTCCTCGAACTCGTCCAGTTTCCTGGATGGAGCGCTGATTGCGTTCCCTGACATTGTATCTGAAAGGAATGACAAATGAAAATCAAGTGGGTTAAGGGAAGAAGTGTTGAAAGTAGAGGTAGCTTAAGACTAAGTATCACAGCCGTAGCTCGGATCGCCCATATTGGACCTCGGCTGTGGTGAAGCCGACCATGTTACTATGGATCAGATAATGCTTAAATTTGGGAATATATTCATATTTCTATATTTTATCTTTTAGTACGTTACATAGTAATACATACATATTATCCACCTATTTTTAATTGCGGTGTAATATTATTGACAGCGACGCTGCTCCAGGTTTCGGTAAGGCTCCCGGATTACAGTGTGTCACTTAGGCGTATAGAGTTGATTTCGCAGACGTTAGTTATTTTCTCACTTCCTCTTCAATACAGAATCTATTGCTTTATTGGTCTATATACTACTAGACGATACCACTTTGTTTGCGTTGACAGATTTATTATAACCCAGTTTTACAGCGAGAATACTAGAACTTATGAGCGTGCTGTAGGAAATAGCGTCCAATTTCCCATATGTACGTTATAGGCGGTAGGAAGTAGATTAAAGCAAGATAATAAATACATTATTATCCATATTCTTGGAACTCCGCCTCAGTTCTAGTCCTTTAAATCTTCAGCGTGATTTCCGTCATCTGGCAGCTTAGTAGGGGTCATAGAATGCACTATTAACGACTGAACTAGTTTTGCTGGCCCATAGCTGGTTCCGGCAGTCGTCCTCCATAGACGGGGGATATCATCAGATTACTGACTTGCACAAGCAATGACACTTAGTCTAATCCTATCTACTTGAAATATATAAGACATAGTAACCGAGTTTCCATAACAACAGCCCGACTGGCGCAATGGTTAGCGCGCAAGATTTCTACTAGATATATTATAGCCTTCAGACTATGTGTTTACAGACTATCTTGAGGTTGCCGGTTCGACCCCGGCGTTGGGCTTTTCTTTTTTGTCTTCTTATTCTAGATACCTAGACCATTTCTCTTAATTTACAACCAGAAGCGCCGCCATTAGTCGACGGCCCGACTGGCGCAATGGTTAGCGCGCAAGATTTCTACTTGGTACATGCCTTCGGACCATGCATCTACAGACTATCTTGAGGTTGCCGGTTCGACCCCGGCGTTGGGCTTTTTTTTCTCTTTTCTCTTTTTTACCTACTGAGATAGATAACCAGGTATTTCTCTCTAATTTACAACAAAAAGTGAAGCGATTTGTCAAGGACTGGTGGGTGGGGGTTATGGTTATTTTAGAAAATGGGGTTTTATTGTATTGGAGACTTAAACCGAAATTGATGACGTCACCTTTCTAGTTTCGAGTCCGAGACTATCATCCTCTTAGGATATGTCTTTCACTACCTCATCGCTTTTGTGCAACATCACTAGCCTAGTATTCGCCTGGTCGTGATCTGCTCTCCATAATGTTATTCCTGATGGATTATCCTATGGCTGTATGTTTGTTAGTAGGCTGAGCCTTTTTGGATGGGTTTGTTTGTATGGTATAAATACCCATTAGATTAAAAAGGTCATGATCCCTTCTCCTCCTTCCCCCCTTAGTAGTAGCCATGATAATCCCGACTTCTCCACCACCGATATCACCCAGCATGACAGGAGGACTTCATTTCCGCCTTTTTGGGAATTGCTGGATCGAGCAGCCCTGCCAAAAAGAGCTGGAGGCTATCTCACAGTACATTCCCTCCATGGCAGCCCTTGAAGCTCTTCTGCCCAGTGGTATATGTTTCTTTCTATTCCTTACCATTATGTTGAGCTAACATATACATAGAGACTCGTAGTGAATGGGATTGGCATGATACGTTCACGGATTTGATCAAAGACGATACCAGCGCTTGGGAACGCCTGAACGCCAAGCACACGCGATATTTTACCCAACCAAGCGGGTCAATACAATCGGCGCTCGCTGTTCACCTCATCAATCCTACGTTCTATGTCGAGGATATTAACAACCAAGAGGCCGACGACCCAACAAACCCAACAATCAACCTGTTATATGATGTTGGGCTCTCGTCCTCTGACTGTATCCTCTTCGATTCTCTGAATGTACGGACAAGGACTGAGGACATGAAAAAGTTTTACACGGACGATCTGTGGAAGCCTCATCGTGACTTTGTTCAAAAGCTCCGGACAAATATGTGGGCGACGGTGGAGATTTGCATGGGCAAAGATGCGTTCGAGGACCTCTCCAAGAGCGCTATTCTCAAGCCCTTCCCCCTATGGGGAAAGTTTGAGAAGGTGAGGTTGTGGGTGGAGGTTGACAACGATCAAACATCTGTGAAGCGGTTCGTCGTCCATGCATACCACCCTGCGTTCTTCCCCAAGTCTAAGCGTGGTCCCATTTTCGACGAAAAATTCTCGAAGCCCCAAGACCTAGCCATTTTAATGGCTAGGCAACTCGCTAAACTGCCACAAGCTGGGATACCTCATTACTTCGAATCAGCTTTTGTGAGAGGAGGATTTGCCCACCTTAGTCCTCAAGCAGAGACCAAAAGAAAAGAGTGTGAGAGGCTGGCCATGGATGCTTTCGAAAAGGCATTTCCGGAAAAATGCATGAGAATACAAGTCGCCCGGCAATTCAAAGAGCTCAAGATAAAAACTGAAATGGCTCTTATCGATAGAATGAAAGCGCTGGAACTACCGGTCCCCATGCAGGTACCCTCAGTGGAGGTTTTGTCATTAGAAGACCAGGTAAGTAGTCAACTACAAGATTTGAAACTTCAAAGAGTTCTAAACTATGATAGGAATTTCGACGAAGGGGCAGGTACGCAGCAATCCGCTCCACCGTGGAGTCTTTCCGGGTCGCGACCATCGAGACAGACCGCGATGACGACGAATGCTGCGACTTCGAAGATCTCCCAGATGATCTCCAAACCTGGATACAATCCCAAGATAGCCTCAAAATTCGTGGGGAACCGGTGACAACCCGGGAGCAATTAGAGCACGTGTTTGCTTTGTTGGACACGAATAATATTTACTACAAAGAGTTTTCAATCCGCGATCTTGCCGTTTTGGTCGGAGTTCTTTTGCTCGAAAAGATCCAGAAGGATCGACAGACGAATCGATCATCTCTTAAGAATACTGAGGCTATCCCCGGAAGACCTGGAGAGGTGATTTATCGCACCTGCAGTATGTGCAAGAAGCCCTTCCTGGATGATGGGTTCCCTCTTTTTCTTACAGCAGTTCCAGAATTCTATTTTATCGAAGTGATTCACAGTACATTTCCAGGCGGGGCCGGTTGTGGGCAACAAGGCTGCAATGGATGGCCAGCTCTCACGCCTGCTGACCCAAAACAGCGCCACACTCGGTTGGAAATGAGGAGCATTAAACGCGTCAGGCTGGCTGGGTTAAATCCGACCTGGAAGGATGCTTTATGTCGCACAGGTAAAGATCTACAGGGCTGTGCTAGTTCGCTCAAGATACGCTGCTGTGGTCCTGGTGTAAACGGAGCATCCCGCTGCGAGTACCAACGAGAGTACGTAACCGACTCCTGGACAATACAAGAACCCCCACGTGCAGTGATGCCTAAGCTTATGTGCAAGATTGAAAATAAGGAACATAACTTTGTACCAGTCGACAGCAACATCCGGTACATGACGTTGGCCAACTTGCTCAAGATCCACAAAGCGTTCTTGAATGTGGGCTGCGAGCTATCAGACTACCCTAAGATCGCTGAGTTTATCTTCCCTACAGTCAATACGTCTTTCAAATTCAGGTTCAAGTTGCTTAAAGCGGCTCAGAAATTATCGAATGAGACTTCTCCCGAACGGAAGGGCAAAGCTCAGCCTGACGAAGAACCTAGTCCCAAACGCCGGAAAGCATAGCTCGAAACGCGATCGGATTCTCGAATGAAGCGCCTGGTGGGTATTAGGTGTTTAGTTGTGAAATGAACGCGGCCGAGTAGTCTTGGCAATTGGAGCAAAGGCACGGGTATGATCAACCTCCAGCACATATGGAATTTTAGCCAATGATATGTTAAACTTTTACAGCTTAATAGTAGGGCTTCCCTGGTGGTTCTAGTGGTTGGGTTTAGCTTTAGCTGTGTAGTCGTTTCCGCAGGTTTCATATTCGGTCCCATGGTAGTTAACTACGGAGTAGAAGCATACAATATGAATGCGAAGGGGCTCGCCGGTTATAGAGATGTAGCAAGCTATAGAAATAAGGTGATCCTTCATTATAGTTATCCTATTTACGGGCCTTTTGGTATTGCTCGGAAGAATTAGACATGGCCCTGTAGCCGTTGAACCGAAGTGCTCCCGGACAATTTGACACCGCTACAAGTCTATTCATTCGGTTGCGTTCTCCTTATTTGGCATAAGTGGAGAAAAGTAAGGACCTCTTTGCTGAAGTTTGAAATGAATAAATCCTGAAGCTGAGTCTCCCCTGGAAACTCTAGAAGGGTGGTATATAGTGCCTTGTTCCTTTCGTGTTGTGTTTAATGGCGAGGATTCGCCCTTATAGCCATCTAAGGGTGGCATTGTGTTGACTGTCTTTAGTATAGCAAGTGGACTGTTAGTATCATGAGTTCATCGGGATGACCCGCACCTTAATGATTTCTGAAATGAGCCCTTTAACGGAGCCTGAAATAACCACAAGCATCGAATACCTTTGTAGGCAAATACAGATTTTGTGCTAGCTAGGGTCGTGATTCCAGATGTTTATACAATAGGCCGGTGTTTTGTCTCTGGGTTGTTAAATCTTTTTTTAGGTAGAAGGTGAGAGGCTCTTCTCAGGCATATTTTCAAATCAATTCTAAAAATTGTCTATGTCAAATTACCGGAGTTCTTTTGCTCGGAGTATCTATTGTGGTCACCGGAGTATCTATTACATCCCGCACGGGCGGTACTGTGTCTATTAGTAGGGCATATCAAACAAGATCGCTAGGTTGTTTATCGTGTCATTTTAATGATTTGGAATTATGCAGCTAGCCTAGCGGATTGTGGCTTTCTCTCTACCCTGCTGCCTACCACCCCACTGGCTCTAGCTCATAGTAATCTTAAGAGCGGAAAGAAAAGAAAGGAAACTCCGTCGCTTCAAAATTCATATCCATGTCATTCAATATCGATGCAGAAGCAATGTCACTAAGTACAACACGCGGGCGTCAGCGCCCAGGTCCAGCGTGTGACGAGTGCCGACGCCGCAAGCTTCGCTGCGATGGGCAGCAACCGCAATGCGGGGTCTGCCAGGACACAGATATTGTATGCGAATCCACACCACGTGGGACTCGAGGACCAAAAAAAGGGCACCTAAGGGCCCTGAAGAGTCGAGTCGAGCAACTGGAGGCTATGCTAGAGAGCAGCCTCTCGGCCCAGGAACCAGATGACCTCCAGATCCAAAACCAAAGCAACACCCAAAGCAGCAGCGAGGGGACAATCGCAGCATCACCTACAGACGCGATACACCCCGCTGCGCTCAATATCACGGGGCTATGGCAACCGACCGCGACGTCTTCTGTTCCGGAGGCAGCTGACTCGCTTTCTCTTTCCCATGGATTGTCATCATCGTCGACCCTGTCGATCAACATCTACCTGCCTCCCACGGGTGTTGTGCGGGCAGAATTGTAAGCAACAGACTTGTGGGACATGTACAAGACCGCTAACAAATCTGCACCAGAGACCAGCTCTACTTGGACCGCGTGCACCATTCAATTCCCATTCTCCATCAGCGACGGTATCTGTCTTGGTCCAAATCTACTACCAAATCCGCATCGCGTACATGTTTACAGTATGCCATGTGGACGTTAGCTTCCCTTCTGTCAACTCAGTTCCGCAATATGATCGAGCCACTGTACCAGAAGACAAAACAGATGCTGGAGCATCTCAGCCTGGAAGCCAATGAAAAGATAAACTTGACTACGGAGCTGGCTCAAGCATGGGTACTTGTTGTAATATTCGAATCAATGCGGACATATCATCAAAAGGCGTGGATGAGCGTTGGCCGAGCTTTTCGTTTGGTCCAGACCATGCGATATCATGAAATCGACAGCCCTCATGATAGAAAAGGGTCCTCCTCTCGGATGGGTGACTTGACTGAGATTGAAGAGAAACGTCGGGTGTTCTGGATGGCTTACTTCCTTGATCATGTTATCAGCATACGCGATGACTGGCCCATCACGTTAAATGAGCACGTGGTAAGGAGTCCAATTTAAAATAAAAGAATTCCAGAGATTCTCCAAGCCATAAACTAACCGACACCCGCTTTATAATTGTCAGATCTGCACCCGACTTCCAGCTCTGGATGCAGAGTTTCAAGCCGGGCGCCATCAGCTGGGACCTTTCCTATCGGAAGCTATGACAGACCCTGGTCTCAAAGTCCGCTCACCATTCAACGAGTGTCTCATTTTAGTTACTATTTGTGGGCGTAGCCTGCTCCAGACTCAGCAGTACCACATATCCAAAGCCTACGGGGGAATGACAATAGACTATATGGAGCAGCGTCTATGGCTGGAAACTCTCCTGACGACAAGACTGCAGGTCTTGTCGCAGTATTATCCATCCCCCACAGACGTCTATGATCCCCTGTTATTATTCGCCAGCATCCTTGGTCAAGCTACCGTTGTCTACTTCTGCAAAACCATAATGAACTCAGCCATAATTCCCGACGGCGAGCAGGAGGCCAATGTTGATCTATTTGGTCCTCAAAATCGGGCCCTTGAAGCGTCTACAAACATAATCCATCTGGCCTCGACACTGCGCGACTTACCATTTGCCAAAGTAAGTCTTTTTCTCTGATCATCCATGGCCTGCTAATTATTTACGACTAGGTCCATCCACTGATGCCTATTCCACTCTTCTTGTGCGCCGAGTTTCTTTACGACGGCATGCATACTGGCGAGCCATTTCAAAGCCGTCTCCAGGAGCTATTCCATATTCTCCGAGATCTGAAAAATGTCAATAACCACGAGCAAAGCTTTTTGGATTTGCTGCCACGATCTTGCATATCTAAAACAAATGATTTATTTAATCACATTGGTGAAGGGGCCACTTCTAACTAACGTGTAATAATAATGAATCTGTTAGCGCTTATCTTGTCAACGACACTATATCACATTGTGGAAGAAGAGATAAGAAAATAAGACAAAAATCAATGGTAAAGCTTTCTCTTTAGCCTCGGTCTAAATGTAGTATAGAGTTCCACTCCTTTAGATAGATTACTTTAAATATAGAAGCTCCCCTATCTATTACGCCGCTCAATATAAGGGCCACCGTCCACGGCACTATATTCTACAACACATCCTTAAGCATGGGCATTGGCCAATCAGTGGCCAATCAGTCCTTGTGTTTCAGATAATATGCACTTAGTTCAGAGTTCTGACTCATCGTAGAACCGGAGTCGTCTTAGTTTAAGGCAGCATCAAGCGCCTCGGAACAATAGTCGGAAAAAAGTTTCCATGCGCCCAACGCAGGACAAGAAACAATTTACGATCAACCAGCTAAGAAGTAAGAACCAAGATAAACAACCAATGATAGAGCTGTCTCTTCAGGCTGTCGTCTAGAGTTTCACTCCTATAGAGCACTATGAATGTGGAAGCTCCACTACAAACCTGCCAGCTCGGTGTAAGGGTCACCGTCCACGGCACAATAGATTCTACACACTCAAGCATGGGCATTGGTCAACCAGTCTCCGCGTTCCCGATAGTATCTACTTATTTCAGATTCTCGATACATACAGAGCCGAGTCGTGTTGGTGCCATTCTTATAAGAAGCAACCCTTTGCTCGCCGAAATGCTCACTCTATCCATCTTTATATCTTCTCCGAGAACATTCTCACACGTCTTTGATATACACGGCTAAAAAAAAGTGATTATTAATTTTGATGAGAGGTTGCACGAGGCTAAATTCCTTGAAAATCTCACGATGAGTCTCATTGGGCGAGCAAACACCGCTCTCAACACCAATACCGTCACGGGTGTCGATGAAGCTCTTTCCGTGCACGGGTCCGACTGGCTTTGGGCTGTCACGGCCATCTATGTTCTGTCATTCGTGAGTTCTCTTGTGCCCCTAGCACTAATCCTGACATTGTTGCACCTGACTACCTTACTCACACATCGAACACCACAGATTGTACTCCTAGTACTCTCCTTCGCAGCAAAGGAAAGCGAAAGAGTCTTCCACTATCTCTTCACCTTCACCCTCTTAGTCGGTGCTATAACCTACTACGCCCAGGCATCCGATCTTGGCTGGAGTGCCGTTGAGCAAATCGATCATCTCGGCAATGGAATCGTCCGCCAAATGTTCTACGCCAAATATATAAACTGGGTCGTTGCTTTCCCATCGCTCGCGCTCGGTCTTGGTCTGATATCAGGTGTCTCCTGGACTACTATTTTCTGCAACATCGCTATCGCCTGGTATTGGGTCATAAGCTACCTTGTATCGGCCTACACTACCACGGCCTACAAATGGGGATTCTTCGCCTTCGGCACGTTTTCGTGGCTCATTCTCGCCATGAGCACTATCAACGAGAGTCGTGAGGCTGCTGCCTTGCTTGGGATTGAGCGGGACTATCTTTTCCTTGCTGGGTGGTTGAATCTATTATGGCTGCTGTATCCCATCGCCTTTGGTCTGACTGACGGTGGTAATGTGATTGGCGTTACCGGGGGCTTTGTCTTCTTTGGTGTACTCGACCTGCTGATGGTACCGGTTTTGACCTTTGCTGTGTTGTTTTTCGCTCGTAACTGGGATTATCGCAAGTTGAATATCGCATTCAGTGATAGTCGGCCCAGTCGAGAGAGTGGGGATGTGTGGAAGGAAGCTCCTCTAACTGCTGCTGATGTTTCTATGGCTTCCTAGAGATTATTTAGTATGCTTTAATTGTGGGGGATGATGCTGGTCTTGAATGACTACATGCCATTTAGATCGATCTGCTTTTTTTCGTCCTGTTTCGTCCTCTTTCTTTCCTCTTTCTTTCATTTTCTGGTTATTTAGATACTTGAACCTTCATTTCCACAGCAACATGCTTCATTTTGTAAAGCGAGTATGATGTACCTGTTAATTTCCTGTTCAGTTACTACAAAGTGCGTAACCTTCCACTCAATCGTACAGCTAGGCGAGGACTATTAAAGCCCACTCCAGCTCTTCATTTTTGTCTTGTTTGAATTCCGATTGGAAGTTCTGGAAACTCCATACAGTAAAGACAATCTTAAAGAATAATCTCAAGTCTTCGCAAGGGAGGACTTCCTTATTAAAGTGACCTCGGGAAGCACCTGACTTCGCGTCACGCGTCTCGGCCTGAGGCCAAAATCGGCCAATTGTTGTCCAGCCGACCCTTTGAGCGACTGAACCAACAATTGAACCACGCAGGTCTTCTGTTCGAATTGGAATTGGATGGGCTGCGCTTGTTGGCCTTGATTAACGACAAACGCGCCATTGATTTTCTAATTGTAAGTCCATGCATTCGGGGCGAAAGCTCCTAGGCTCAAGCTGGTCGGCAATCAACAGCATTGGTTGAATCTGATTCTCCTCGACACAGGCGCAAACGCTTATCCAATAGTACAACCACTAGTGATTCCTGTTTTGGATCCTTTGCCCAGACGAAATCCCCTTTTCATCCAATTGGAACCTCCCCGACACCAGCGATTCCATTCTTCAAACGACAGCCATGGCCCCAGCATCCAAGAGGAGAAGGGTCTCCGAGGACGTTGATGGAGACATCCAGATGGGAAATGATAATCAAGACATATTCTCCATCCCGTCATCTCCCAACAACAACAGAGCTTCTCCCACACCGGTAAAAAGTGCCTCACGGCGTCGATCTACCCGCGGAGACAATGCAGACCCCGAAACGGCAGGCCAAGATGTTGAGGACAAGAAAGAGGAGGCACAAACCCCCGCACGGGTTGGGACACGATCAAGTGGGCGGCAGCGCAAAACACCAAAGAGATATGAGGAAGAAGCCGTGACATCCTCATCGAGGAGGAAACCAGCTGCCACTCCTTCACGAACTGCGCGTGCCACCCGAAGCGCGCAAAAGCCGAGGCAATCTCCAGTGGAAGACGAAGACGAGCCTGAATTCGAAGAGGAGGAGGAGGAGGAGGAGGAGGATGATGACGATGATGACATGGACCTCGATGAGCCGTCCCCGGAACCCGCCCCTCGGACAACCACAAGGACCAGATCGAAGCGAAGTATCGCGAAACCCAGATCCAAGAAAGCCGTGGCCGCTGAGCCGAAAGAGAAGTCGCCTTCGCCTGAATATCAGGACGGTTTGGATGACCTCGATACGATGCAACTCCAGCAAGACCTTTATCATGACCAGCCGGAGGCGCATGAGACCGCTGATGTCTCCGAGCCGTTACCGGAATATGCTGGAATTTTCCAAACGCTCTGTCAGACGGGCCTTGGGAACGAACTGCGTATCCTTTCGACTATTCTTCTAGAAAAGCTGTCAGGGAAACGACAGATTCCAGTGCGAGGACTCGAACCTGAATACCAAAAAGTACATCAGCTCATTGAACAGACCGTCTCTGTCGGCGAGGGTAACTCTATGCTTCTTCTTGGATCTAGAGGATGCGGCAAGACCGCAATTGTGGAATCCATAATTTCGTCCCTTAGAAAGGAGCACAGCAATGATTTCCATGTCGTTCGTCTCAATGGATTCTTGCACACAGATGACCGTCTCGCTTTGCGCGAGATGTGGCGTCAACTTGGCCGTGAAATGCATACCGAGGACGATGCGGCCAAGGTCAGCTCTTATGCGGATACGATGGCGACGCTCTTGGCTTTATTGTCGCACCCAGAGGAGCTCTTCGGGGCTTCTGGGGACCCAGGCTCAAAGACTGCTGCGAAATCCATTGTGATCTTGTTGGATGAGTTCGACCTATTCGTCACTCACCCCCGACAGACTCTGTTGTATAATCTGTTTGATATTGCCCAGGCCCGCAAAGCCCCCATCGCGGTCATTGGGCTCACGACAAAGGTCGATGTAACCGAAATGCTCGAGAAGCGTGTCAAGAGTCGATTTAGTCATCGTTATACTTACGTTCCTCTACCTCGATCCTTCGAGACCTTTTCAGATATCTGCCTAGGGAGTTTGGATCTCAGTGACGCCGAAATGGTCGATATTGCAGATGAACTTGGGTCTGAACGCACTCTAGTAGAGTCAGACAAATGGAATACACTGCTTGGTGGATGGAAGGAATATCTCAAGGTAAGATCTGTCCTATATCCCTTTATCCAGTCAATTAAATCCTTACTAACCTCTCTTAAAAATAGCATATATGGAACGACAAAGAATTTCAATTTCACCTTAAGCGTATATACAACCAAACCAAATCAACAAAGGAGTTTTTCAACAGTGCGCTTCTCCCTATCAGCGACTTGCTACAAAGTGTATCGACCCCCGACGCACCCATACCGGAAGTCCCAACTCCGAAAAGCTTCGCTTCCCAATCCCTCGATTGCCCCGACCCAGCACCTCTCCCCTTCTCCACATCCATCACATCATCCAGTCCCTCATCACTGCCACTGGCTTTGCTGGTAGCCGCAACTCGCTTGGCAGCCCTGTTCGACCCCGGAAACGACGGATCTCAATCACATAGCATGTCGCCACTTGCGCTTTCTTTCCCCGCCGCATACGCAGAATACGTTCGGCTCCTGACCTCCGCAAAGATATCCGCCTCGGTGTCCGGAGCTGCTGCCACACCTGGTCGTGTCTGGGGCCGAGATGTGGCCCGAGAGTCATGGGAAAAGCTGCTTAGCTGGGGACTTGTGACTCCTGTCGGCAGTGGGAACGGCACTGCCGACGGACAGATGTTCCGTGTGGAAATCAGTTTCGAGGAGGTCGTTGAAATGGCGGGCTCTGGTGGTGCTTTGGGTCAGTGGTGGCGCGAATAGACCTGTCAGCAATTTGGTTACGTTGCGAACATGTCTTACCGTGTTACTTTTTTGTGCGCTGGTGGCGAGCATATCATTTGGCTTTCTGACTATCCTGTCTATCATTTACCATGGTAGGAGTTGGTAGTTGGAATACATCTTAATTTATTTCCAGTCATTCTCTCTCCACTAAGTCATTCTGGAATTGATATCAAGTGTCCTGTGCTGGCTAATATATAAGAAAGAAACCAGCATACCATGCATAACAGTCCCTAGAATTCTATACAAGGAAATAAACATATCTCAACCCAAACCCAGCCCTCGGGATTTATACCATTTCCACCGAGATATGTCCTGGTATTGGTGCAAATACCTTATTTATATACAACACCCCAAGCTTTAGATATCCATAATACCGTATATAGCACTATATTCTATTACAGCTATATTAGTATTTTCATTGTTTTTTTGGTACTTTGATGGTATTTAGTAGCAGCCGTAGCCTAGGGTAGCTACCTATTCTGGCACTTCAAGTTAGTCAACGTCTCTCCTAGATTGATTGAATTCCGGATTCATGTATATAGCTTACTAGTTTACATACTAGTATCATGACCCTACCCGTATAGAGCTTAGTTTGCTCAGAAACAATTAAAAGTAGTCCAAATGCTTGAGACATATTGTAAACACACCAGTTACCTATCAGGAACCACCAACCCCAACCGTCTGGCAGTCGTACCTAAGTCCACGCCACGCGAAATCTGCGTATCATTGGGAGCATCCTCTGCGTAAGGGTCTATATTTCCGGTCGAATCCCAGTACGCCTTGTAGAAAAAAGCTCCGGCCTCAGAGACAAACTTAGCGCGGTCGAGCACAACTGTGAATAAGCGATATGGGATACGGGGCGGTTTTTCTGTCGGGGCAAAATACGCGTCACTGAGTTGAGGCGTCATGCGGTGTGTTGTAGGGGATTGTTCGTCGCCCGCATAGAAGGTGTGTAGGGCGCCAATAGGGAAGGGATCTTCTCGGTTCTCTTGGGTTGATTGAGAGGATAGAATTTCAATAACTTCAGTTTGAGCGGGGCGGATGGCCGCCCAAGTAGGGGACTTTGGGATAAAGAACTTAAGAGTGAGGGTTTTATTGGCTGGGAGGTGAGAGGCAATTGATGCTGTGAAGAGGCGCGCTGTGCTTTCCAAAAGGGAGGACCCTGCTGTATCACGGATAGAGCTGGGAAATAGCGTATGGACAATATATTGAATATCAGAGATGTTTCCCTTAGGAGTATTGCTGACTGTTATAATATCGGCATCCTGAATAACCTGGTATGCCGGATTAAGAGAGAAGCCGGAAGCTGCAGCTTCCTGGGCAAGTTGGTCGCGGATTTGCTCTTCTAATGGCATATCCGAGCTAGGAGGCTCACCCTCGTCTACGTCTAAGGCGTCTCGCGTCCCGGCACGACCGACGTTTTTAAACATATCGAGTACGACAACATCCCCGACGTCATTCTGATTCTCAACGCGCTCTGTGGCCAACTCAAATGCTTCCGGTAAGGAACTACCGTACTTGGGTGAACATTGTGCGTGCGTGCTGGAAAACGAGCGGTTGAAGTAGAGCATATCCGGGCCTTCGCCCGCCTTAGCAAGCTCTTCCTCGTCGGTTTCGCCCAGTCGATAGCTGTGCGACCGTATTAGGACACAAAACCCTATAGGAATCGACTTGTCGGGACGACCGGCAAATTGCGGAATCAGCGGGGGCGCATTTTCGATCCCTGACCGGTTTTGCTGCTTACGGCGAGCGATTTCGAGGCGATTATGCTCAATACAGGCGAAGGCGTCGGGCGGGCGGTATGAATAAATCTCAAACATAGGCACAACCTCATCACTCCAGAAATTTTGCATCAGGTATTCCCGTAGCTGCCCGTGGTCGTCATCCAGAGGGACAAGACTATAAACCTGGATAGGAACCAGGTGGTCGGGTACTGGGTCTGGCACGACGTACTGCTCAAGCACCACGCGATGACCCAGATGGTCAGAGTAGGTACGCACTTGCTGCCAGCCGCTCTCTTCCATAGCTAATTCAGCCTTTGGGGTATTTGAAGAGCAAAAAGACTTGAGAACAGGATTGGGGGAGTCAATGAGGGGGGATATAAATGACGTACTTTGCGGTGTTTATAACTAGTTAACTAGGGGGAAGTCGCTTACAGGAGGATCGGCACGAACTTAGGGCTAAATCCAACTCAACTCATACTACTACCAGTATTAACTACTAACTACTTGGTAAGTTACACCTGGTACAGTTGTAACCAGTCATATATATAATAGTGCTATACACATATAGGCACCGACTACCAGTTTTAGTTCAACTACAGCCCCAGCCTTCCTAGTTGGTTGCCTCCCTCTATCCCGTATCTACTCTCATCATTCGATGAACTTATTAGAGTGCCAGGCAGCGGGTTACCTGGGTTGTTCAATGGGAACTTGAAGTTGCCAACCGCTGCAGCGCCCGTCATCATAGTGTAGGACGAAAACTGTTGGGCGGTCGCGCTCTTTAAGTTATCCATATAAGCCTTGGTGACTTTGTGCCATTCTTTCTAGACGGTTTCGATTGCATCTAGGTACTTGTAGATTTAGTAGGCCTATAGGGTACGCAAACCCTAGTGCTTGATGTCACGGGTGGCCTTAGTTTTTCCGAGCTCATTACCCTGCGGCTTCGTGGTAACGTATTGGCGGCTGTGTTCCTTGTCGAATTCATGAGAGCGGCCAAGAGCGTGCCTAGGAACCATGCCATGAATCCTGGGATCGAATATGATCCCAGAGATGTGAGGATCTCACTCGCGAGATAAAAAAAAAAGGCGGGATCTGATCTATTGTTTTGGTCGCCAGTGGAAACGAGGGGAACAACTATATAACTAAGTCGCATTAGGATCGGAGGGACTAAAAGAGCTAGGCGGGCGCAGAATAGTGGGCGGTCAAGGGGCTGAATATCCAAAGTTACGAAGGCAGCTGTTTCTGGCCTCAAAAGCGGTCATTTTGGGCGTCAATCCCACTGGTCCTCATATTCTAGTAAACAAGCAAGCACTCCCCAGCCTCTTTTAAGTTATTGGCAAATTCCACTAGTCCCAAACCTACCTGACCTCCATCTAAGCTTGGAAATCTGCCGATCATTCTTTTCCATCGTCCATCCTAGTTGCTGAGTATGATTAATCACGTCATCCTTGTCTTTGCTTCGATAGTTAGAACGTATAGAGACGGTGGCGATATCGGGGTCTGGTTGGATACGTGTGGATCCCATGTAGATAGTTTCAAAACTGGCCCGTTGATCCTTCAAGGCAAATATTGCATATTCTTTCTTTCCTTGCTAGTTTACTCCGTATTATGTACTTCTACTGGACAATTATGGCAATGGTAATACTGGCAGCTTTTTAAATCTCGCTGCCTTGCGTTAATCTCCTTGCTCAGACTACTACAGTCATTTAATAAGGTAAAATATATTATTACAGAAATATCCAAATGCCGTGCTTCTAGATTGTCATTCTGTACTCTATTTGATTGGCCCCCCTCCAAACACGCGGCATTTCAATATATGCATGTAGGCTGCCATGTGTTGAAAATGACAGGTCTGATTCTCACGTCTTTACCCACAAATGGTAAAATGAGGGGCTGGTGTATCATGGCAAGTTGTGTGTTGAGCATATATTACTCTGCATGCAGGACACCGATCACTAGGGTACCATGCGAAATCTACAGGACACTTCGCATGGTTGGAGGCTTTTATTTTTGGTATACTAATGTTACATTGATTCTTTGAATGCGTGTAGTTGAGAAGTAAAATGAGATCCTTATAATTCCTTATAACCATAATATCTTATTTAAGCGTGAAAGCAAAAAGAATAGAGCCAAACAAAAGATGTTGAGAAAATCGACTCCACAATCCTGCGACACTCGCATGGCTTTCATGCACGCTGATATGTAATGCCCCATTCTTCCCTGCTAGTCCTAGCCCCATAACCCGACTAGCCGTTAGCAACCCAGCGCATGCTGCAGCTTGCAGATCAATATTCTCACTTCTGCTTCCATGTAAGGATGGCTACATGACCATGTGTCTGGCTGTGCATATGCACAAACCCCTAGCGCATTTCACCATGCGGTAGCCCGGAATAACCCCCCTCCCCCCCACACTTCCGAGGCTGCAGCTCTTGTAGGGGCCGGATGGCTGCGGTTTCGAGAGAAATAGGAGTCCTGGTTTCAGAAGAGTGGGATAAATATAGACCTGGCACGATGTGATAATATAAACGCAGACTTTGTGTAACGTGGTGTTCCCGTGGATTTATTCCTCCATATATAGGTAAATGTGTCTGCTTATGGTCGGACCGCAGCCTTCCGTATATGTTGTAGGCTGCAGTAGATTCTGTGATAAACTAAAGATACTATGTATTAGAAAAAGACAATAAAAATGCATAACTTGCTGCAATGTTGGACTTCGGGGAGAAAACGTCAAGGATCTTCCTGTCACCGGCTTCGCTCTGATTACCCCGCTTTTATACAGAAGACAAGAAGGTAGAGTGTTGTTTTCGCACGTCTTCATGCGTCGTGGCTTGCATGAATTGACCCGCCAAGCTGGCTAGTCAGTACGATTGCAAGGTTAGTCGAAGTGAGTGGGTGACCGAAGAGTCATCTCGAGCCGGATAGTTACTTCAAATGGGAGCTTGGCGTTGATCATTAGGCTTTGGGGTTAATTAGGGAGATACCGGATGGTGATCTCATCTGGTTCCATATCATTTGATTTTCCTTGCGATGATCAGTATCAATCGGACAACTTCCGTCTTCCTCCCGTGCAGTAGCGGATAATCAAGAAAGACGATGGTAAGTAAACCTGATATCACTGATAAGAATATTACCATGAACAGTACGGTAAATGAGCCGGCATCCTCTATCTCGATAATAAGATTAACCTTCGAATTAGAGCATGTATGGTGTACTCCGGATAGATCCCTATGTCTCAAATCTGCGCAAGTACCATATGCACCTCGGTTCCCGTTGTGAGGTGCATGATTCTCGACATGGTTATCTGCATCAAAGTTTGTTCGCAGAACTGCCGTGGTCATACCAGAGTGACCGACAAAGCCGGCGTCACGATGTCAAGGGATTATCTGCGCAACACCATCAACCAATCAAATAGATCATACATGAAACAAAACCCAATCTGGATTCTGCAGGACCACATGGGCGTCCACGAGTAGAAAACCCGCAGCCAAGATTATGATGCAAGTCATTTAGTTATGTCGGCACTTACAATCCTACTCATTTACCGCTGCGATAACGACATGATGGTCCCAAAACCTTCGCATTTGCAATATAGCCGTAATCGCACACGGATCTACGTACTCTTAAAAGAGATATTAATGTGTGGGTCTAGAAACAGCCTTATCATGTCTTTATCTTGGTAGTCTTTTTAATAGTCTTAGTTATAGGTAGTCTTGTTAGATGTGAACTTTTTTTCTCTACAGATATTTTTTCCTATCAGTACTATAACTAAAAGGATACGCAGAATTAGCGGTAAGTTATAAAATATCTAGACCTACTTTTCCAAGGTTCTATATATATCTGATAAAGATAAGTATAAACTTTGTTGATTAAGACATCTAACGGCTCAATAAAATGTTGGGCCCCAAACTCTCAAATGCCAAGGACTAAAACAAAGATATCTAAAGGCATACAAATGGCTTTGCAGATAACCAGAGCTTCTAAACAGTCCATGACCAAAACCAAGTCATCTGAAAACGTACAGATCAAGACAAACATTCTGGTCTTTTATGTCTTCGCTACCTACAGTCGTACCAGCTTATACCTTATCAAGTTCTATTTTGAAAGAAACAAAACACTTCGTCGAATACTTTTTTTGGTAGCATTGATCCATAAAAATGATAGTAATGTGAAGTCTAAGGATAAGAATTTATAGAAGTTCCGAGGCATCCATAGGACCAGTCATCTGACAACGTACAGGGGAACATCAACTAAGCCGTCTTCGTGAGAGTCTGAAGTGTCTTCCCAAAGACTTGAGGGAGGCACCAGCTCCATCCATCCTTGTTGGGCCGGGGAAACAAGGACCTGCTTAGGAACATGAGAAAATCCAGCGCCGACTGCGTCTTGCGCATGGGGCCGCAATGGGTGAAGATAGCCCAAAATCCAGGGTCATTTTTGTCGCTCGGGTTGGCTGCAGCACCGGCAGCATAAGCAAAGCATTGCTTTGCTGTACGGATTGGTTGAGATCGTGAGATTTAATATATTGACTAGGCGAAGAAATCATACCCATTGGCCTTGTGTAAATTGGAGGTGGGGGGTGGCTCGCCCCTCATTTTGGTGAGCGAAAAAAGGAAGAAAAAGGTCTTTGCGAGGAAGTCTTGTATTTGATTTTATATGTCGAAAAGTCCAACTGCGGGTTCATTTCCATGAGAGAAAGGGTATCAGGACGTCCACGGGTGCCTTTCTAAATTAAGTCATACTATCACTTTCTTACATTTTTCTTGCTTTTCTCTTCCTTTGATCCTAGATTATCATCAAATATATTATGTATTATCCAACCAGAGCAGATATAGTCCTGATGTTTAAGGGATGGATTGCTAGTTTAGTCTTCTAATCTAAGATCTGGTACCCGACTAGGGCTTGTAAATGTGGCTACGAGATCAACTAACCCTAGTGAAGTAAATAGTCCGATGCGCTAATAAACTACCCCTATTTAGCACCTTACGCTCATTCTGATATACTCTTAAAAAGCTATTCCCATTTCCTGGAGATTTGACCTGTGGTTTCAGCGTTATTCACATCTTGAAATCAAGGTATTTGGAGAGCATAGGACTTTGTCTGCCAAGCCAGCTTATGGCTATACCAATACACATGGGTGGGTTTATCATGGCCGCTCACAATATAGCTGCGACTTGGTCATCAATATCATATTGGCGGCAACCTCGCTCCGGTCAACTGTTCAACGAGCAGATACGGTGAATAACAAAATTAGAGCTGCGGTGCAGATATCGATGGCAACTCTTCACAACTCGAAAAACAGTTGAGAAACTCAAAAAAAAAAAAGAAAGAAAGAAAAACCTTCCCATCAAGTGCAAACACTCTACGAAAGGGGGTGTATGATCCGCATGTGATCACTGAGAAGAGGCTAGATATCGGTGAAGAGCAATCCTGCTTAGTATCTCCGGGAAGAGCTTGTTGAAGACTGCGTTAGCAGAGGGGGTTACTGTAGCCGGGACTGTGGATGCTGCGAGAGATGTCGATTATCCGCCAAAAATGGAAAAGGTATCAGACATTGTACCGTTGAATGTATGTGTTGTATACATGACCGAGGGTCCGAGTCTACGGCGAAGGGGAAGAATGATTTTGATGATCGGTTCTTTACTATACTTCGGTCTAACAATCCTGCCTTCCTTCTAAGGATTGCAAATGCGTACTTTTCTAAACATTTGGTCTGGAAAATCAAGACCAAGCAATCATAAGTAACAAGGTTTAGTTGCCTTCTTTTGGTGCCTATGGTATATGTATTTATCTACGAATGGACCAGGCGTTTCGGGAAAAAAAAAGAGTATTGGACGAATGTTTCTTGTTTCTTACACAAGAATACTTGACTTTATTTCCTATTGTTAGAATGCTCTACTGGAATATAGTAAACGAGATCATGAAGGAAGGAAGGGAAGAAAGGAATAAACGAGATTTTACACAATTTAGAGAATCTCACACGCTAACCAGGTAGGAGTGTAGCCGCATGTGTAAGTGGGCTGTTCTCTGTCACCGATGTTTTGCCGATCTGCCACGTGGACTTGAAGGTCCTTTTGTTCCCGTGTGGCTCCTCTGCCGTGTCTACCGTGAAGGTGGAGTTGTCTGCCTGGTGGGTATGCAAAGTACATCATATGGTGACCCATCGGAGCTTTTCTTTCTCTTTTTTGGCCTTATTCTTACGTACATTGTAACTAGATTAGACACGGAGTACGTAGTACAAGTAGACCCAATATTTTGCTTATGGACATGTTTTATACAAAACATGAATAGTCGGCCGCATATACGATATTGTCACGTCTTTTTGGTAGTTCTCTTATATATCTTTTGTTTAGCCTTTGATATACTCGCTCTCTCTCTCTCTCTCTTTGTGGGTGTACACTCGTTCTCGTCAAGTATACCTAATTAGGCTATTAGACATTTTAAGTAAGCCTAGTGTGGACATACATGCAATTGGCCCTTGCCAAGCCTTAGTCTTCCCCAAATCAGTAGAAATTTCAGGAACAGGAGAAAAACAACAAAGCATCGACACCAGAACCAAAAATTTTCCAGGATGTTGCCCCTTAATCAACAAAAACAGGAGAAATAAGTGAAACAGGCACTCACTTAGGTATGAAGTGGCCCGTTGAACCATGGAACTACCCGAAACGGGGCTTCTTGGCGTCTTCCAGAATCCTTCTAGAAGGTTTCTAGCGCCAAAGATTTTGCCACACCGGAGTTCTCCGTTAACCCCCGTTCGGCCGGGACTATGGACGACTCATGATTCAGGATAATTTTCAATGTCTGGTTCGACAATTCATAGTCTAAAATCGTTTAAAGTCTATGACGTGGTTCAGTACTACACTCCCATCCTACACTATCTGTTTTCGGCGAGTGGAGTCAACCATGAACGGGTATAAATCCGTATTTTACATCAGGGCACGGTATACTATACGCGTATAATACACCCGGGCAAAAGGGTCATATTACTACAAACGGCCTACAGGGACCTCGGGTATATGATGTGCACACTTCAACCACTCCCATTTGTGTGAACAAAGTTCAAATTCACGACATTGAAGATCATCCCTTATCTACTCCGTATATACCCGCAGGTCAGAACCTTGATGATTGCGTATATGGGAAAAAGACCCACTCGACATTTCTCAAACAATCGGGATGCCCGAGAACAACTGGTATTCGAGTCCAGCGAGCCAAAAGTACACGATGAAAGCTTTAAGTTTGCCAATATTTTCAAACATGAATATCAGCAACTCCGTACCAAGCGTCCAGAGATGGCACATATGTACGCGTCTCCCTCAGCGTGCCACTGAATAGGCAACAGATCCGATGAGGCTCTGTCCACCAAGTGCTGCGTGCACGGGATTCTACTAGTGAAAACACTAGTCTTGTAAGGAGAGTTTCTGTCAATCAGACTCTTTGTCAGGATTGTCATCCTGGCAAGATTGGGCATGTGGCTGGGTAACAAAGTACGGAGGAGAGGTCGTTGCGCAAGCCACATGGTCCCAACACGGGGATCACGCCTATGAGAATAGCTAAGCACCTTGCTTACGAGTCACAGGTAACTAGGGGATGATCAGATCTATGCTCGAGGTCTAAATTGTCGACCTCTCTGGTATTCCACGTGACAACCTTAGCTATAATTCCCCCACATGTGTGTAGCTCCCGATAGATTCGGCCCATTCAATGTGATACGTAGTGTCGGTCTAAATCTGGACCATTGATGGGGCCTCGGGAACGAAGATCGACCCTGTAATTGAAGATCGAGATGATATCGCGATCTAGAACATCTGAAGGTACTTTGGGATATCAAGGGGTAGTAGGTGAAGACCGAGATTCATCTAGGCCTTCTCTATCCCCGGCTTGGCCCAAATCTAAATATGTACTTCCACCAACAACTACCCCGAGGCCAGGGCTTACCAGGTGTTTAGAGTTTAGCATGGCCAGCCCGCCTAGGGAGCATCAGAGCATAGTTGGAATCCCAATCGTGCAAGCCACATTCCTATAAGGAAACTAGTTCTCGGATGTTGGTTCCCTGGATTCCGGAGAGATCTGCGTACAACCATGCAGTTTGGGATATGAATGAAGTACACCTGCTACGTGCAGGGACCCTCGAATAGGCAAGGAGGTGATATGTGACTAGGAAAGTAAGTTGCCTGTAAAGTTATACATATGAGAATTGTTCTATGTATCATTTTGGCAAGGTATGCCCCAGAGGTAACTTATGGACATAAGCTTTCTATTTGTGCTGATCGACATCTACCTGGCCCTGAAATGAGGGATGTTAACTTGTCCTGAAAGGGTAGGGGTGGTATCTTGGCAGTTGAACTTGGCAGCTGATTTCTGTCTTTGGATTATTGCGAATTTTCATGACTCGTGTCAAAAAGTGTATCTTGTGCAATCCACATTATACTTATTATAGATCATATGCACCTGGGTGGTGACTTACCCCTGAATATTC